TCAAGACTGGGAATCATCTTAGAAATTGTTTAATACAATAATTCCTTACTTTACATAACAGAAAATTAAGCTCCAATGGAGTTGAGGTTTCCAGAAGTAGAACAAGGACCTACACTCAACCCAGCATTCTTTAAAACCTTCTCAAAACTGCCTTATTGGGGAGAGGGAGAAACTTTAATGTGGTTATCTGAGTGAATGCAGATGAAAGCCCAGAAAAGAGGATAAGCCTGTAGAAGTGGCAAGGAGGATGCAGACCAGGAGATGTTAAAAGAAAACTGACATGACATTAGGATCAACAGAAGAAGTTGAGTTTTATATTTGATTCCAAACACAAATATAAATACAACTAATACCCAAAACCAGGAATTTCCAGACTGGTGGTATCTTACCCATGTAGGATAGTGGAAAGATAGTTAGGAAAGGATTTAGATAGGTTCATACGAAGTTGTAGGAGAAAGAGCGTGCTATGAGAAAAAGCATAGGCAAGAAAGTACAAGATGAGTTTGAGAGACATGGAATACACCAGATTAGACAAAAAAGTATTTCATGATGTGTAATAGATGAATGAGTAGGTAGGTAAGTCCAGAGGTCATGAAGTTGGGGCGTTAAGACTTTCATCCTGTGATAAGTTGGCGAAGGGTTCAGATCAAGTATGCAGAATAGCCAGCACACTGATCTGCAGCTTCACAGACATGTTCTAGTGGCCAACTAGAGTTAAGCAAAGTGGGAACGAGTTCATGGAAGAAAAATCTTCTAAAATAAAACATTAAGCCCACGCCACATAGATTCCAAAAGAAGAGTGAGGGAAGGAGTTGTGTTTTCTCTCTAACTTTGCTATGACATAAGGTTGAATAAAAGTTTTTGAGGGAATTATATGGGGTGGACAAAAGTGGGTCTACAGTTGTGAGTTCATGAAATAGTTTATTCTTGTATTATTTATTGTTTTTTTCTACATGAACAACTGTTAATCTACTTTTGCCCACCTCTGTATTTAGGTCAGTGCAGTGGTATTAATGACAATAGACAGATGACTTAGTAAAGGATTAGGTTAATATGCAGGTCTAAATTTCTAATTAAGTAAACGTTCTAAAACACACACAATATGTATATATATTTTAGGAAAGATAAGTTGTGAATTCTGTAGTGATTTTGGTGCTTCCTTTTTCACTTTGAAGGCTTCTACTAGTAGACTGAATACCATCTAAAAAAGCCACCATAGTATTTAAGGAAGCAGGAGCCCAAACATACTTACAAACTTACTTGTTTTTTTTCATCCTGTGTCTTATTTACTTATTTAGATATTATGCAAGAGTGATTCATTTTATATTTTTAAATTTATCTTTATTGTTGAAAGTATTATAAGATGTCCCCCTTTCCCCCGCATTGACCCTTTCCACCCCACTTGTTTCCTACCCCTCTCCTTCCAGGCCTACCAGGCCTGTGTCTTTTTAATCCTCACCTGAGGATATTTTTTCCATTGATTTTTTTTTTTTTTTAAGAGAGAGAGTGGAATGAAGAGGGAGAGACAGAGAAACACTGATGTGAGAGGGACACATCAATTGATTGCCTCCTGCATGCACTCCCCTCCCCCCCACCAGGGCCAGGAGCCTGCAACCAAGGTACATGCCCTTGACTGGAATCGAACTCAGGACCCTTCAGTCCGTGGGTCAACGCTCTATCCACTGAGCCAAACTGGCTAGGGCCAGGCCTGTGTCTTTAAATAGAACAGAATGTTTATTTAATCTTTATTGCCTATCCTGAGCTATTTCTCATAGAAGCGGTCTCCAAAATACAGTGTACTTGATTCAAGAAGTGCACACACACAAAAAACTTGTATTTATAATTTTTATCTTAGGAAAATGAACATAAGCTAATTTGCTAATTTTTAATAGAAGAGTTGATGGAATGTAAGTATATAACTTACAGTATGAATATTTGTGAAAGTAGACACTAATTGTAGGAGGTGCAATAAAAAAGTGTGCCAAAATTGACTGTGGGATAAAGGTTGTTAGATTTACAGATAGATCATCAGGGCTTTCCCCTAGAAATTTCGACTCAGTAGGTTTCAACTGGGGCCTGGGAATCTGTTACTTAACAAGACCTCCAAGTGTTTCTTATTTTCAGCCAAGTTTAAGAAATTAGCAGTAGACCTGCTTTCCCATATCTTGACTTTGGCCTAAGTCCAGTTCAAATATTAATGGCTGTATGATTGGTGCCTCACTTACCCTAATACAGCTAGAAAGATGGGTTGTCCAAGGGCTTAGCAGCAAAGCTACAGCTCACCTTATTTCTTGTGCTTTGATTGGACCAAAAGCCAGCTTGAATTTTAGGGGTACCAATATTGTATCTAGTGTAATTTAGGATTTTGTTTACCTTGATGTTTGAAATTGATGACTGTTTTCAACCATGAAGCTGCTGCCACAGGTCATTACTATCTTCCATGTGTTAAAAAAAGCATGTATTTTATTTTTTTTAATGCTCTAACATGCTGGCACATGGAAATCTAGAAATAAATTTTATGCTAAGGCAATTGGGTGTCCTAAAATAAAATATTTATTCAAAATGTTAAAAAATATAGAAGAAATAATAGCTAGTATTTATTAGGTGTTTGCCATATACCAGGTACTATACCAAGCACTTTTCAATACAGTTTATTTTATTTTTTTTAAATATATTTTATTGATTTTTTACAGAGGAAAGGAGAGGGATAGAGAGTTAGAAACATCGATGAGAGAGAAACATCGACCAGCTGCCTCCTGCACACCTCCCACTGGGGATGTGCCCGCAACCAAGGTACATGCCCTTGACCGGAATCGAACCCGGGACCTTTCAGTCCGCAGGCCGACTCTCTTTCCACTGAGCCAAACCGGTTTGGCTCAATACAGTTTATTATTTAATCCTCAAAACAATCCTACGAAGGAGGTGTTTTTACTATTCTTTTTGCAGAGGAGTTCATTGAAGTAGCACAGAGAGGGTAAGGAAAAGTAACTTGCCCATTGTTTATAGGGATTTTGTTTGCTTGCTTGTTTGCTCATTTTAATTTGGGAATGTCCTAAATGACTTTTAGGTGAATTTATTTTCTTCGACTTCTTTGACTGAATGATTCTTTATCTTGAAATCTGATTTCTTCTATTGCCTCATTCTCTTATAAAACAAAACCTCTTATATATTTTAACAAGGAATATGAAGTAACATATAGATATCACTTTGGAGCATTCAAATGATGAAAGAATATGACAGTTTAATAAAAACAAAGTGTTTATTGTCACTTTGAGTATGTAGCTTAGTGATTTATCTGGGAAGTAATATCTATGACTATACATACAGGGATGGGCAAAAGTAGATTTACAGTTGTAATACAAATAAGTAACACAGTAATTAATAAAACAACAATAAAATCTGTGTTTCACATACTCAACAACTGTAAAGCTACTATTGCCTACCCCTGGATATTGTTTTATCCTGAAGCTTTGTTTTATAACTGTTATTATTTTTTTAATGTCTGGGGATTTTTTTTTTTTTTTTGGAGCATAGAAAGAAATTCTGGCAATTGTTTGTTTTAATTGATGCACAATTTATTAAAATTTTTAACATTGCCAGTTTTAACATCTAGTTTTTTCTTAAGCTCAATTTATGCATTTAAAAAATAAATTTATTTTATTTATTTATTTATTTTTTTTACAGATACGTAGATTTTATTTTACAAAAGTGGGATAATTAGGAACACATTGTTCTGCAACTTGCTTTTCTCACCGTGGACATTTCTCAAGTCAGAAATACAATCTACCTTATTTTTTTTTTAAATTTTGTTTTATTGCTTAAAGTATTACAAAGAGTATTACATATGTCTCCTTTTTTTTCCTCCTTTACCTTCCCCCGGCCTCCCCTACCCCACAGTGTCTTATTAACTCCACTAGGCTTCAGTTAATCTCTTTAAATTACCATATGAAATACCCTGAAACATTTTAAAACACAACAATGGACAAAGTAAAATAAATCAAAAAGCATAATAAAAAAAAACAACAAAAAAAACGAAAAGCATAATCAAACAAATATTGTAAATCTAAATCTAATAAATCAAATTTATAAATTCAGTAAACCAAGTCCTCCTAAATATTAAACATTGCTTACTAACCTAACTTGTTACATAATTCATATTATAATCACAAATCTGAGATAATAGATTCTCTAAAAACATTTCAAATATCTTAAAAAAAACCAATAGAATATGCATAGACAAATTATCAACTAATGCCCAACTTACCAATACATTTTTATCTTAAACCAAATGCAAAGTCTTCATATAGTATTATAGGTCCGATTCATTCCTTAAGCCTGTCATTTTTCGTCCCAGACTACAAATGTACTTGCAGAACAAAGTAGAATAGAATTTTCATCTTTCAACCTTGTACCACAACTAGGATAATACATTTGGGATTGGGCAGGGCACCTATGTGTACTTGTCAACCAGAGTCTGCATTGGACCCTCTACCCTTCTTATTGTCAGGCTTTTGCTTGCCCTTATTAACAGAAACCTTGTGAGCCCTCACGTAAATTTAAGTAAGCATTTAAGTTTTACACTTTTGCAACCTGGTTCTTTTCCTAGAAATGATGCATCCTGTGTTTCCATTTGGTTTTTGCAACCTGGTGGTTTTCCTAGAAATGATGCATCCATTAAGTTTTTTTCTTACATTTTAGCAATGCGATTTTCTTCCTAGAAATAATTTATTCCTTAAGTTTTTTCCTTAGGTTACACTTCATCCCCATTATAATGGGATTTCCTAAGTCCAGTTATGTACAAACTGTGTAACCTTTGGCATTAAAGTTAACTTGTGTACTAATGGGTTTTGACACCCTACATAGGTTACTTAACAACCCTTTCTCTTTTATAATTTAATAACTGCCTCATTGGCCATCAGTCATTTTATTGACAATAATGATCAAGTTTAATTTTTAACCCCTTTAAATTCATAAAGCAAAAAATGATTTTTCTCTCCTAGGAATGCCAGAATCACCTCCGCAGATATGGAAATGTGAATCTGGAACTGGTGACTCGAATCATTAGAGATGGTGGCCCATGGGAAGATCCAGTGTTGCAAGCTGTTCTTAAAGCCCAGCCAGCATCTCAGGAGATAGGTACTTCAGGAAACTCAAAATCAAAACCAACATTTGTGAGAAGCAAACACAATTTCATTATCTCACTAGAGCAGTATTAGTGATTTTTCTTTATTTTATAATATTGAGTAAGAATTATGTATTTTTACATGAAGTGTGTTTAATTTGTTGTACTAACGTGCCCTAAAAGTGATTTTTGACACTAGACTTGGATACATTTATTTCTAGTAATTTCCCATTCTAATGGGAATTAACATATTTACTGTCCAGATGTTACTTACAGAGAGTTCATTTGCTTTTGTCACTGCAGTTATAGTTTAAATATCTATTTAAGTTGCCAAACCCTAAAACAAAACAAAAATCCTGCTTAAGCACATGAGATCTCCCTTATACAGAAGCAGCTGTGAGAGCTATAACTCATCCAATTTTTATCACTATTACTGTATATCCCACACCTAGCCCAGTGCCTGGTAGAGAGTAGGTGCTTAATATAAGTATATGTTGATTGAATGAATGACCACATGATGACTGTATAAGTGAATGAGTGACTAAATTTCAATTCCAAATACTGTAGAGCAGTATTTCCCACACTTCATCCATTATTAGAAGTTAAATTTTCCCTCATCCCTTTACCGCCTGCATACTTCTTTGACATCACCTCCTCTTAAACCTAGATGTACAGTGGTTCCTGTGGGCCAGAATTTTCTTTTGAGGAAGGAGGCTCTGTCAACTGCTTCTCACATATTATTCCTAAGCCACAGCTGATCACCAAAGCTTAGAATGTAGAGCTGAGCAGTAGTGAATAAACACAAAACTGTGAAAAACATTTGAATGAATGGAGAGAGCCTAAGGAGTACAATTTTAAGATTGCCAAAAGGAAAAGACAAGAACTCCTAGCTCTGGAACAATTCAGACCTTGGTCTGGTGAGAAAGACACTTCATACCACAGATTGTGCTCTGTGGGTTAGGATCTGTCCATTTGTCCCAGGTTAAGGGGTGAGGGTAGGGGTGGGTTGTGGGTAGAGTTGAGTGGAGAAGGAGCTGTGATTCTTGGGCTTAAGAGCAAGCCAACCCAGATACAAGTGTGGAGGCCAATGGCAGAGATGTGAGAGAAGATGAAAGATAAGGCCTGAAGAAGTAGTGCAAAGCAGTGGGATGAGATGGGAGATAAGACAAAACAGGAGGAAAGGGCTGAAATATATATGTGACAGTGTTATATACCCAAGGGATACAAATGAGACGAACTTGATATGAGGGTCTGGAGAAGGAATAAAAGAACGGAAGCAGCTGGAACTGAGGAGGAAGAGTTGTATGGCTGAGGAAAGGTAGAGTCAAATACAGGTAAGGCAAAGGTGACTAGCTGAAGAAAACTATGAGGAGACCAGGGAATGAGGCAAGATGGGGGTAGGAGATAGACAAGACAGAGCTTCCAAAGGAGTGAAAAGTTAGGCCTTTTAGGAGAGCTTTTAGGCTTCTCTGAGGAGGAGCAAGAACAAACATATTATGAGTTGCTTTGAAGTCTGATGGCCTTAATATATGTATATATAGTTCTTCACACATAGTCCTTTAATACTTACATTGACATACCTCACTCTGGGAAAAGCTGCTCTAGAGCCTCATTAATATGAATGACTCTTCTCTGGTTGGTGATCATTAGGGCAAAAACTAGTGTGAGGTTTATCTTTGCATTAACTGTACAGATGAGTGTCTGTTGATCATATGTTGGAAACAGAACTGCAAGGCAAATGTTGGCACCCAAATAAAACATCACTCATTAGTATTTTAGAAGCTAATGATTAAACATATAACTAATTAAAATACTTGGGGTCCAATAGGATATATGTGTTCTAGTTCCTGCTTTGCCACTTAACTTTTGTCTTTGGGCAAGTCATTTGACCTCTCTGAGACTCAGTTTTGTGATCTGTAAAACAAATACTATGATAACTATCATAAGGATGTTGTTAGGTCTAAATAAACTTAGTAGATAAAGGTGTTTGTATACTTTTTAATTGTGTAAAACCAAGTATTTGTTAGTAATTATTCTTAGTGATACATGAGCACATATTAATAAGCATTCCTTTTGGCTTAATCTTTTGTTGACAAGTAATAAAACATTTCTTTCATGATTTAACTTTTTCATTAATTCAGATTTATTTCTCTATAATTAATCAGTAATGAAAATATTGAGCACTAAGATCAGAGTACATAATCTTAGACTAGAAATTACATACCCCATGTTATTTGAAACATTTTAACATATTAGTGAACTGAAAAATAAATATTTCAGGTTTTTTACTTTTTAAACTGAGAAGAAATCAACAGGTATTTTTTTAAGCATTGTTTTGTTGTCACTTTTATTTCCATTTTTCCAATCATATAATTGTATATCTTTTTTCACAAATAAACTCTTACTAAGAAAATGCTATTTAATTAAATAACTAGTTAATGTAATTAAATGCCACACGTTAGTGATAAAGTTTCAAACAACAATCAAGAGTTTGAGAGAATCCTTTCTTGAGAGTAATATGAGTCTGTTCTCTATTTAATACAGTGAACAAATACTTAAGTTCGGAAAATCCACTATTCTTTGAACTACGTGCCAGATACCTAATTGCTTGTGAACGCATACCCGAAGCAATGGCTCTTATTAAATCTTGTATAAATCACCCAGAAATCAGCAAAGACTTGTATTTCCATCAAGCACTCTTCACATGTCTATTTATGTCACCTGTAGAAGAACAGCTATTCCGGGAGGTATTGTTTAAGATTTTGTTTGTTTGTCTATCATCATTTTAACCTTATAATAAAAAACAGGGAAAAATATAGCTGAATCTTGTTAAATTCCTTTTTATAGTAATACCAAAGGTTTTCAGATTAAATTATTTAGATGTGTTCTCTTTAACACCATTCTTTAAGCTCATGTTAAATTAGACCAGTGGTTGGCAAACTGTGGCTCGCGAGCCACATGCGGCTCTTTGGCCCCTTGAGTGTGGCTCTTCCACAAAATACCACGTGTGGGTGCGCACGTACAGTGCAATTGAAACGTCATGGCCCATGCCCAGAAGTCGGTATTTTGTGGAAGAGCCACACACAAGGGACCAAAGAGCCGCTTGTGGCTCGCGAGCCACAGTTTGCCGACCACTGAAAAATCTGATATTAACAAATGATGAAATTAACAAAACATTAATAAGCTTCATTTTATTTATTTTATTTATATTTATTGATTTTTAGAGAGAAAGGAAGGGGGAGAGAGAGAAACACTGATGTGAGTGAAAAATATGGACCAGTTGCCTTCCATACATGTCCCAACCAGGGATCAAAACTACAACCTAGGTATGTGCCTTGACCAGGAATTGAACCCACAGCCTTTTGGTGTATACTTCAACCAACTGAGCCACCTAGCCAGGACAGCAATAAGCATTATTTATGTTGAGTTTCTGGTGTGACAGAGGTCAAATAAAAACTGAGAACCATTATGATTTTTGCCTTTTAAATAAAATATTTAAAAATTAAAATTTTCATGTTTGTTATTTTTTTTCAAGATGAAAGAATCTTTTCCTAATATGGATCCTTCCTACCTATAAGTTATAAACATTAATGAGATTAAAAGTAACTGTAAACTATAGGTGCTATATAGTAAAAATATGAAGCTATGAAAAATTTTCTGTACAATTCATCATTGTCTTTGTAGAAGAAAACTAAACATCTAATTTCTTCTGAATGTTTAAACACTTATTGCAACTAGCTTTTAGATATTTTTAATGACATGAACTAATTTTTCTTTTCCTCTTATAGCATTTATTGAAAACTGATTGTAAGAGTGGAATTGATATCATCTGTAACACTGAAAAAGAAGGCAAGACTATGTTAGCCTTACAACTCTGTGAATCTTTTCTTATTTCACAGCTCCAGAATGGGGATATGTATTGTATCTGGTAAGTGTTCCTAATATAGAAATTAAAGTAAGACGGGGAACAGAAAAATTGGTTAGCAGAGTTTGGACTTTATATTTTTTAAAAAAGTTATGTGAAAATGTTAAGCAAGAAGCAATAATGCCTAAAGATTAAAAAAGAAAATGATCAGGTACTAGTAATTGATATTGTAAATGTTTAAGGTATGTGTTATAATGAAACAATCATGTTTTAAATTAAATTTGGAGTGTTAGCTTGTTTGTTTTTTAATTTAAGACAAATTTTTAGAGCAGTTTTACCTTAACAGCAAAACTGAAAGGGAGGCACAGACATTTTCCATATACCCCCTGCTCCCACACATATATATCAATATCACTCACCAGAATGGTACATTTTTTATCAAGGATGACTCTCCACTGATTCATTATAATCACCCAAAGTTGACAGTTCACTCTCGGTGTTATATATTCTATGGGTTAAACAAACATATAATTACATATCTATCATTGTAGTATCATACAGAGTATTTTCACTGCCCTAAAAATCTTCTGAGCTCTAACTCTTCATCTCTCTCTGATCCCCACCTCTGGAAAGCACTGATCTTTTTACTGTCTTCATAGTTTTGCCTTTTCAGAGTATCAGCTAGTTGGGATCATTCATGTAGTCCTCTCAGAATGGCTTTTACCTTAGTACTATACATTTAAGGTTCCTCCATGTCTTTTCATAGTTTGATAGCTCATTAGTGCGAAATAATATTCCCTTGTCTGATGTACCACAGTTTATTTATCTGTTCACATAATGAAGGACATCTTGGTTGTTTCCAAGTTTTGTCAGTTATGAATAAAGCTGCTATAAACGATATGTGTGCAGGTTTTTTTGTGTGGACATGTTTGCAACTCCTTTGGGTAAAAATACCAAGGAGCATTATTGCTGGAACATATGATAAGAGTATGTTTAGTTTTATAAGATACTGCCAAACTGTCTTCCAAAATGGCTGTACCATTTCTTATTCCCACCAGCAATTTATGAAAATTCCTGTTGCTCATCTTCACCAGTATTTGTGGTCAGGGTTCCAGATTTTGGCCCTGCTAATAGGTGTATAGTAGCATCTTGTTGTTTCAATTTGCATTTCCCTGATGTCATATGATGTGGAGCATCTTTTCATAATCTTTCTTGCCATCTGTATATCTTCTTTGGTGAGGTGTCTGTCCATTAAGATTTTTGGCCCATTTTTTTAGTCGAGTTGCTTGTTTTCTTATTGTTGAGTTTTAAGAGTTCTTTGTATATTGTGGATAATAGTCATTTATCAGATGTCTTTTATAAATGTTTTCTCCCAGTCTGGGTCTTGTCTTTTAATTTTTTTTTATATTGTCTTTTACAGAGAAGAGGTTTTTAATTTTAATGAAATTTTATTTCTTTCATGAATCATGTTTTTGGTGTTTTGTCCAAAATGGTATCACCATACCCAAGTCATCTAAGTATTATCCTATCTTATATTCTAGAAGTTTTATAATTTTGCATTTTATGTTTAGGTCTGTGGTCCATTTTGAGTTACTATTGATGAAAGTTATAAGGTCTGTGTCTAGATTCATTATTTTTCATGTGGATGTCCAGTTCTAGCATCATCTGTTGAAGAGACTACCTTTGCTCCATTGTATTGCCTTTGTTCCTTAGTTTAAGATCAATTGACTATATTTATGTGGGTCTATGTCAGGGCTCTGTATTCTGTTCCATTGATCTATTTATTCTTTCACAATACAACAGTGTCCTCATTACTTTAGCTTTATAGTAAAACTTGAAGATAGATAGATTAATCCTCCAACTTTGCTATTCTTCAATTTTATTTTGGCTATTCTGGATCTTTTGCTTCTCCATATAAACTTTAAAATCAGTTTGTCAATATCCATAAAATGACCTGCTAGGATTTTGATCGAGATTGCATTAAATCTAGAGATCAAGTTGGGAAGAACCAACATCTTGATAATATTGTGTCTTTCTATCCTGGAAAAATCTCTCCTTTTATTTAGTTGATTAAATACACCAGAGTTGTGTAGTTTTCCTCATAAATTTTGTGCATATTTGTTTAATTTATACCTAAGTATTTTGTTTCTTAGGTACTAATGTAAATGGTATTGTGTATTAGTTTAAAAAAAACATTTTAAGAATTACTTAAAAGTTATTAGTAGGATATGTAACTTAGAATGTATTATGAGTGTTTTTAGGACCTACTGTTAGAGTAGTGATAGGTGAAACCATGAATAATTATTATAAAAGATTCTAATAACTTCTGTCCCCCTCCCTCAACACACATACACACATACACACAAACTTGACCACTTTGACATTTCATTAATTTTGAAGGAAAAACTAGATTTCATTTGATGAATATAATAATCTGAAATGATATGGGCTATAAACATTTTTTATCAGTGCTTTTGAATTTTGAATATTTAAAACAGTAGCTCAAAGGGGGATTTAAGCTAAACTCATTTAATATTCTTGTTTTATAGATTAAAATCTTCAGACTAAGAGATAAATAGGTCATTAGTAACAGAACTGGGTCTAAAAACTAGTGGATTATCTTCTAGGAGAGAATACTTTTAGTTAGATTATGTAAGTTTTTATTCAAAAGTTTTCCTGGTAAGTTGGAATTTCAAATACACTTAAGTATCATTTCTTGATAAGTAGTATTTCAAAACAGAATATAGTCATGACTATTATAGTAGACTAGAGGCCTGTTGCACGAAAAGATTCGTGCAATAGGCCTTCCCTTCCCCTGGCTGCCAGCACCGGTTTTCCTCCAGCACCCGGGACCCAGGCTTTCGCTCCGGCCGGAGCCGCCTTCAGTCTTCGCTCCGCGCCATATGCAAATTAACTGCCATCTTTGTTGGCGGTTAATTTGCATATTGTGCTGATTAGCCAATGGGAGGCGTAGCGAAGGTACGCCTGTTTGTCTATTATTAGATAGGATTAGAGGCCCGATGCACAAAATTCGTGCAAGGGGCTCGGCCCTTGCAGCTGCAGTGGCTGCCTTGGCCCTCACAGCCCCTGCTTCGTCCAGAAGATCATTCGGAAGGATGTCCAGAAGATCGTTGGGCTGTCCGGTCTTATTAGTATATTATGTTTTTATTATTATAGATCGCTTCCTATGAGGATAGGCATGTTCTTTGCCCTTGGCTGTATTAAACTATCTAAACAGGATGTCTTCAGTCTTTTCATATTGTTAAGTAAATTGGAATTGTGTAAGCAACAACAAAGAGGAAAACATTTTACTTATTTTCTTGGCTAACCAATTTCTACTCTTTAAGGAAGGAAATTAAAAATAGAACAGTGCCTATCCTTCCCACTCCTGGCCGTTATCACCCTCCAAGAATAGAGCTGCGAAATGCAACTCCCAGCTGCCTAACTGGAAAGGAATCTTTAGCCTGCTTCTTGGTCCTTTCTTCTGAGTAGGCTGAGTTCTCATAGTCTGCCCTCATTTCTTCTACCTCTCCTCTATTTTTTTTTATTGTCTGAAGTTTTACATATGTCTCCTTTTTTCCTCAATTGACCTTCCCCCCACACCCATGCCCCAACCGCCCCAGTGTCTGTATCCATTGGTTATGCTAATATGCATGTACATAAGTCCTTTAGTTGCTCTCTAACCCCCCCTCCCCTACCATTTGTCTCTAGATTGATCTATTCTTGTTCATCAAATTATGTTGATCGTTATATCCTACATATGAGTGAGATCATGTGATATTTATCTTTCTCCAACTGTTTTATTTCACTTAGCATAATGCTCTCCAGTTCCATCCATGTTGTTGCAAATGGTAAAAGTTCCTTTTTTTTTATAGCGGCATAGTATTCCATTGTGTAGATGTACCACAGTTTTTTAATCCACTCATCTGCTGATGGGCACTTACGCTGTTTCCAAATCTTAGCTATTGTAAATTGTGCTATGAACATAGGGGTGCATGTATCCTTTCTGATTGGTGTTTCTGGTTTCTTGGGATATAGTCCTAGAAGTGGGGTTATTTGGTCAAATGGGAATTCCATTTTTAACTTTTTGAGGAAACTCCATACTGTCTTCCACAGTGGCTGCACCAGTCTGCATTCCCACCAGCAGTGCTAGAGGGTTCCTTTTTCTCCACATCCTCCCTCGCCAGCACCAGTTGTTCGTTGATTTGTTGATAATAGCCATTCTGACAGCTGTGAGATGCTATCTGATTGTTGTTTTGATTTGCATCTCTTAGATGATTAGTGACTTTGAGCATGTTTTCATATGTCTGGGCCTTCTATATGTCCTCTTTCAAAAAGTATCTATTTAGATCCTTTGACCAATTTTTGATTGGATCGTTTATTTTCCTTTTGTTAAGTTGTATGAGTTCTCTGTAAATGTTGGAGATTTAACCCTTATCTGAAATAACATTGGCAAATATGTTCTCCCATGCAGTGGGCTTTCTTGTTGTTTTGTTGATGGTTTCTTTTGCTGTGCAGAAGCTTTTTATTTTGATGTAGTCCCATTTGTTTATTTTCTCCTTAGTTTCCATTGCCCTAGGAGCTGTGTCTGTAAAAATATTGCTACAACATATGTCTGCTATTTTGCTGCCTATGGAGTCTTGTAGGATTTTTATGGTTTCCTGTCTTACATTCAAGTCCTTTAGCCATTTTGAGTTTATTTTTGTGTATGGTGTAAGTAGGTGGAATAGTTTCATTTTTGTGCATGTATCTGTCCAATTTTCCTAACCCATTTATTAAAGAGACTGTTTTGACTCCATTGTATGCTCTTGCCTTCTTTGTCAAATATTAATTGAGCATAATGGCTCGGGTTGATTTCTGGGTTCTCTGTTCTGTTCCATTGGTCTATATGTCTGTTCTTGTGTCAGTAACAGGCAATTTTGAGAACCATGGTTTGGTAATATAGCTTGATCCCTCCAACTTTGATCTTCTTTCTCAGGCTTGCTTCGGCTATTCGGGGTCTTTTTTTATTCCAGATGAATTTTTGGAGAGTTTGTTCTAGATCTTTGAAATATGCCATTGGT